TAGATAGATAGATAGATAGATAGATAGATAGATAGATAGATAGATAGATAGATAGATAGATACTGTAGATAGATAGATAAATAGGGAGAAGATAGATAGATAGATAGATAGATAGATAGATAGATAGATAGATAGATAGATAGATAGATACTGTAGATAGATAGATAGCCTGTTTGTATACATGTTCCAGCATAACTCTGGAGCACCTCCTGTAATTTCAACCAAACTTGGTAGACATATGACTTACCCTCTGGAAACAAATATTTGGGGGGAGGGGGGTCAGACACTCCTTGGGGGAGTGTCCTCTGTGTTTGTTTATTTGTTTGTTTGTGTGTGTGTGTGTGTGTTCCAGCATAACTCTGGAAAGCCTGGGCTGTTAAGGAGAGTTAATGCGGCGTCCTAGAGCGGCAATTCTTTGTGATGTCATGGGAAGTGGAATGGAGAGCCTGGGCCATTCAGGAGGGGGAAGGAAGAGGGCAGGGATGATGGGCATGGGAGTAGGGGGAAGAAAGGCCCCTCTCAATGGCTCCCTGTCAGACAAACGCTTCGGGGCAAAGTGCCAGGAACGTAGACAGGGCGGGAAAGAGGAGCGCAAGGGAGAGGGCAGAGATGGTGGGCACCGACATCTATAAATACCCGGGCAACGCCGGGTTCTCATCTAGTCCCGTAATGAAAGGAAATGCACAGCGCATTCAGACTTCCAACACTTTCGTCCATTTTGTTATGCCGCTGCCCGATTCTGCCGTTGTTGAAATTCAATTATTCACCTCCCCCTCATTAATCTACAAAAGAAATAGCTACATTTCCCTCACCTGGTCCTCTCTTGTCCCAGCCACAGATCATGGTGCCCATGGATAAGCCCATGCCTTTATACTGGTACACCATATTGGCCAAGAGCTTGGAGGCAGCCGCCACCGAGATCCTCTCCTTGTTGCGGAGTTCGTAAATCCGACACTGCCGGGCGAGGAGCCGCTCCCAGAAGCTGCAGTCCGCCGCCCCGCCAGCCATGGTGCCCAGCAGGTAAGGGTTAATCTCGATGATTTTTTTGACCGTCTGCGAGGCGACATAGACGCCGGCCGTGGATCTTGAGTCCGCCGCCACAATCACGCCGTGCTGGAACTGGAGAAAGCAAGCAAGAGAGACCACCGGAGATCAGCCGCGTGTCAACTCTCCGATTAGACCTCGACTTACGGCCACAATCGAGCCCCCAACTTCCACCGCTGAGCGAGACTGTTAGGCAGAGCTTCATCCCGCTTTGCAGCCTCTCTTGCCACCGTGAAGGGAATCGGGGCAATGTTTGCCGCCCTTTTCCCAAAGGACTCAGGGCAGCGTACAACATAAAAAAAACCCACGTATTACAAAAGTTAAAAAGGATAATTTCCTTTCTAACTTTTGTAATATGTGTTTTTTTATTTAAAGTATCCCAAAACAAACCCAATTAATATTAACAATAATTTTTTTAAAAAAATAGGTTAAAATTAACAATTAAATTAATCCTGGATTTTATTCTGTTCAGGCCAGGCCGGCTTTCTGGAAAAGCCAACTTTTTAGAGTGCGTCGGAAGGACCGGAGGTCGGGGATGATGCGAAGATCCGGGGCAGCTCATTCCAGAGGGACAGCACTCCCACAGAGAAGGCTCTCCCCCTGGGGGTGGCTAGCCGACACTGTCTGGCCGACGGCATCCTGAGGAGGCCAACTCTGGGATCGCACTGGACGGTGGGAGTCTACCGGTGGCAGTAGGTGGTCTCGCAGGTACCCTGGGCCTAAGCCATGGAGCGCTTTAAAGATAGCAATAGCAGTTAGACTTATATACCGCTTCATAGGGCTTTCAACCCTCTCTAAGCGGTTTACAGAGTCAGCATA